AATCAAAAAAAAATTAATAACGTAGTGGTAACATTTAAGCACTAGGAAGTGGTTGCAGCTAATGAAACTCTAATGTTCCCTCTGTCTTCCTGACACACAGGCCTTTGAGATTCAAGATTCAGCAACATGTTTCTGTCATCTCTAACATGTTAAACCTACAGTATATATTCTGTTAATGTGAGGTTTGTGTTTTGTAGTCATCCGGGCATTAATCATAGGAAGTGAGGAGGTTGGCAGTGGCACTATGAGTAGTACCAAATATAACATCTACCCTTTTCAGGTACAGATTAAAATAATCTGTTTAAGTTTATCAGCATAATGTGATTTGTTTTTCAGTATTTGTGTGTGTTTCTCCTCCCAGGTGTTCAGAGGCCCTAAAATTGATGCAATCTACACTTCTGGGCCRTGTAGAGCCTTCATGAACAATGCCATTGGACAAGATTATCTTCTTACAGGTAGAATTTTTTTTATTAAATGCACAACGATTCACTAATTTCATATCTGCTTTACCTTCAAGTCATCACTGCTTCTTCATTCTGTAACTGTAGGCCAACTGGACTCTAATGGGGTGGCGCACATCTTTATGTGTAACTTCAAAAAGCCATGGAACGACTTGAGTGACAACGAGCTTAACCTAATAGGAGAGCTGACGTCACGATGCAGTACCAGGAGAAAGCGAAGTTTGGCTGGAGGAGGAAAAAGAAAAAAGCCGAAGAGATGCCGTTTGAGGTTCTGTCGATATCCTCACCATCCTCATTATGTCTGACATACAGTATTTGTGAACAAATTGCTGTTATCTGTCTTGAAATAGGATCTAAATTCGCATAATACAGACTCTCTACAATAGTTTCCTCCATAGATATTTCACTTCATGCCCTCCGATGGAGATCTCTCCACCTTTGAAACCAGTGACTGAAACCCAGCTATTCAGAACCTTGACAGCAACTGTGGCTGAAAATTAAGATCCGTCTCTTTACTGAAATTATCTACAAATATAAAAACTGAAATAAATACGTGAACATTTATGGTGTGTTTTCATTGATAGTGTAACCCCCCACCCCCCGCATGAGTGAGGGGGTATGGCATAGTGTGGGGTGTCAGAATATGTGAATATTTTTCCAGACATATCAGTCAGCTCTATGCTCCCTAAAGGATAAATATGGTTTACAGGTAAAATTATCTAAAAAAAAAAGGAATGTTCCTTCCAGGCAATTCATGAGTTTAGGCATAAGACAAATCTATGGTGTCCAAATGCAGCACATTGGGCCTCATGCAAGGACCGTTCGTACATACAGATTTGTTCTTTATTTGTGCGGACGATTGATTTAGGAGAATTTGTGGCATTCACCAGGTTTTTTTTGTTTTCTTAGATTTACTTCAGATACAAACAACATTCACGAGTGGTCCAGACCTGTCGTATATTTTACAAGCCGTCAGTCTGCTGTTACCTAGACAGATTTTTCTCACTAATAACTACATATTTCTTTAGTTTGAGGATGTTTCGAGTTGAAAATAAATCACACTCCATAATTATGTTGACCACATGCTATTCTCTTTGAACTAGAATTAGATTTTAAATGCAATTAATGACATAAATTGATTAGATTAAATTA